ATAGTAATTAATAAATAGAGCCCTTAGAGTAAGTTTCAAACATGCTACAATTTTTATATGACATGCTGTCAGCAAACCCAATGTAAGTTCAGTTATTATCCCCATTTTAAAGATTAGGAAACTGAGTCACACAGAAACTCATTTGCCTGAGTTCACTTGGCTAGTAAATCATGGAGCCAGGATTCAACTCCACACTCTCAACCATTCTGTTGGCAATCTCAAGGCATTTTCTGAAGATTAATTAAAAAAACAAAACAGAGAATGGTCAACATAATGACTTACAACAAGTTATTCATTAATATCAGCCATTTTTATTATTAGCAACATGAATGTGAAATTTATTCCCATATATATGATATAGTAAATATTAAATCCTAACAAATTATTTTGTTCATTCTTTCATGGCTTTTGCTTGAGAATAATTTCTAAGAGGCCAATTTTGTGGCTATAAACAAATTCTAAAAATGCCACTTACAAACTCCTTTATTCATGATGCCCCTTAGTCTTCTAGAAACTAAATTTTGTGCAGAATGTAAACAATAATAAAATTAGATTACCATGTTTCTATTGACTTCAGAATATTTGACCACAGATRGATAAACATAGCCTATAAAATGCAGCCTCAAACCATAATTTTATATACATCCACTCCAGTTTAGATATTTCCTGTAAAAAAAGATTTCTTAAAGATACTCTCACTGCATAGAATTATATCTTACTAAATCAAAACTACAAGGAGAAAAAAACAAATTCAGATAATTTGCTAGTGTTCTCAGCTTTGCAGAAATGAGATAATTTAAAATATTCTGATAATATAAATGTGTTATTGAATTAAATTATCATTTGAAAATATGCAAAATACCATTGAATAAATTTTAAACTCGGATAATTTAGTCACCTAATTCAAGATTATAATCTGTTATCACCTTGGAAATCTGATATATCAATTCAAAATTACTATTTGAATTGCCATCAGAATTCCTGAAATTCTATTTACAGTGAAAATTCCGATTGCATCTGGTTTTGTGTCACTTCAAGACAAAATTATCAAGACTGGTTTAAGCTTCTTGCTTTTTAATCTGAATTTACAATAGAGAAAACTCCCAGTTTGGGAACTCTTAGCTTTACTCACACCTCTTTTTTATCCTTCCCCATTCTCTACCCCCAAAACAACCCAAAATAAACACTCTGAGTAGCAATACAGGAACTGACCAATCCCAGGCTCCCATGGATTTAAGACAACCAGAGAAAACAAAGATGGAAAGAATCCCCGCTTTGCAAACAAGGCCCTAATTAGGTAGGCAAATAAAAATCCTTTTACGGCTAGGCTCTGAGTCCTTCTAAAGGAAAGGTTTCCAACTACTTCTCACATTTAACCCAAATATCAACACAAAGCCTTCCCCAATAATGGCTGGAAGATACTCCTCCCTCACATTCCACACTTTGATATTTATCAAAAGAAGCATCACTGCTGAAAGCTTATTTTCTTAAAAATTATGCTTTAACAATCTAATAAGAAATGTCTATTAAGACAAAGTGCCCAAAACACCAGAGAAAAGAGTTAAAAGAAAGATCACAATTAACTGTTTTCACAACCATTCATTAGTGTCTTCTGGGTTGTTTTGTTTAATAGTATTGAAAATGTTCRTTAGTTCATTTGGAAAAACCTATCACTCCTAATGGTGCTTTTTCTCAATGCAGGTCAAGCCATCATTTATGTTACTCTTTTACTATTTTTATCTAGCTACTTGTACTTTATGTTTCAAAGATGTATGAGCTGGGTAACACCAACAGTTAACTGCAACAATCATGGTTCAGAGAGGTTGAAATATCAAAATGAGAAGAGCTGAAAGTTTTAAAACATTCAAACTATTATAACTGAAGAACATTTACTCTAGGAAATTAAAAAGCTCAGTATATGAGGCTTTAACTCAGTGCCTTTCCATCTTTATCCCTTAGATGAACCTTGAAAGTAGGCACTAGCCTRTGAGGACAGAACCTACAAACACTGAGTCTTATGATAATTTGGCAGCAGACGTTAAGAAGAAACTCAATATTCTCTGCCTCTCCATTCCRTTCCCTTCTTGTTTGTTCTTTAGATGAAGTTATGGTTTTTTGATTCAGGAGATTTTCTTGTTTTCTTTGCCTCATTACAGGGACAAGTGGTGACAGGAAGTGAAAAAAAATGACTGAGAGAAGACAGCCCTACACAGACCCAGGCAACCCCAGCAACTGTGTAAAGTAAATGGAGTTTTGTTGACCTAATTAATTTCAATTGAGCCGAGACTATTTTAAATTGGGCTGCAGAAAATTCACTTAAATCCAAATCAGTGTGTGTGTGTGTATGTGTGTGTGTGTGTGTGTATAACTTAGGGGAGGTGATATTTTCAAGACTTAAATTTTAATGAATTTCTTTTTCATTTTTTTTCATTCCTCTAAGGCATTGGTAAACACTGCTGTTTTCTAACTAAATAAGATCTTAAGGAATAGGAAAATCTATAATGATCATATATCCCAGGGAAGCTTGCCAGATGTTAACGAATTAACTAATTTTAAGCTTAACTCCTCTAGCGGTGGCTGAAAGGAATGAAACAAGTACATAATGGAACATATAAGTAGCACAATAAATGACTTCACATCTTCACAGCAACCTAGAACTTTATGATATTGTTCAGATCTAAATAGCTTTGTAGCATGGACCATGAAGAAAGTTTGGAGTCCATACTTTCACAGTGCCTGGTGAAATAAAGATAAACATTTCAGAGGATTGCCAAAAATTCCTTTTGTACTTTGAATAATTCATACTGATACTTCTAACTTCACTTTCCAACCCTTGCAAATTATGCCTATGAAGAATGCCTGAAAACAGGACAGAGATGAAATACCAYGTATTTTTTTTTAAATCAGGTCTAAAAAATGCATTTAGAAGACATAGAATATTTTTTTAAAGAAAACAAATAATTTCTGATTATTTCCCAGACCAAATGGTTCAGAGATCCTACAAGTACCTAAAATATTATATTCTTTCAACCTTATTTTGGTTATGCAAAAATCTCACAAAACACAGCATCCCTGAATATGAATGTGATATCAAGCTCTGAAATATAAATATTCAGAAATATATTAGCACTAGTCACACCAAACACCTCATTCACACAAAGCCATCCCCAAACACGTACTCTGCTTCAATACAGGGTGTTTCTTATTTGTAGATGACTTGCCAATAACATGTTGAGAAAATGAACACTTCTTACTTCCATTCCACTGTTTCATATACAAATAATTAGCTATCAGTGTTTAATGATTACTCTTTGGCATATTCTATTCAGCAAAATGGTTCAACTGCTAAGTCTTCCTTAGATTTAAGTTACTTTTAAGTTGTTGTCTTATCTACCCTTTACAGTGATGGAGTGACTGTTAAAGGCTTGCACCCTTGGCCTTTCTGTGGCTACCCAGCATGCTGGCCCTGGAGTGGGGGTCAGAGCAGGGACCTGCAGTGGGCTGTGTGACTATATCCACAGCCAGTCTGTAGTCCTGCAGGCCCTGCTTCCACCTGCAGCCAAATCCCAGAAGGTGTGGAAAGAGGGCTGCTTACTCGCACTTGCTCTATGAAATCTACTTGTTATATACTAGAATTACTTTCCTATAAGTAATTTTTTTCTCTTTGACTACTGAAATGCAAAGAAGTTTCAGATAAAAAGACACTTTATTCAGAGATTAATTTTTTTACTAGATCAGCAAAGTTTCTACTTTTGACAACAACCAGTTTCTATAAGCACTGGAAATAAATATACATACTCTTCAAGAAAAACACAGAACAGTTATATATGAAAACAATTACTGTTGATACACAAATCAAGACATCTTATGTCAGAAATAACTGATTCTATAGTTTAGCTTTTACAAATGTCATAGCTTTATAGATCTYAAAAAGTTTCACTAATAAATATTAGCAATAATTTTATAGCATTTACTTTTGTTTATTTTCAAAACTATATGAAAAAAAGATCACCATAGTAGTTTGGAATTGATGGTTAAGGGTTTGTCTATGGATGGAATTGTAACATGGATAATTCATTGGACTTCTAGTGAAACTTATTTTCTAAGTTCATCAACATTCTGAGGCTTAGTAAAAAATAAATAATGCAAAAAATATCTGTGAAGAAGTAATTTTTAATAAGCTAAAATAGAAATAAATATGGTGTAATATGTAACACATCCTTCTATGTGCTGAAATTACAAAAACATGCATAGCACCTAAATGCACAGAACAGGTATTGATACATACATATAACCTTGTATATTTAGATTCAGGAATATATGAATTAAAAAGGTGTTTCTGTTCATATAAAACTTATTCCTGTGTTATTTATGCAAAAATAATTTTTAAAGCACTGCTTATACTACTTAAACTTTTAAAAAGTAAATAAATTTTATGTAATTTTCCAAATAACCCTGCATATTTGGTAAACAAATTAAGTATTTCTTTTTTACTTATTTATATTTTAATTGCCAAAGCCACAAGAACACTAGACACGCCAATTATTTTATTGACCTTTASAAACAATCCAGTCCAATTTTACAGTTAAGTAAATTTGATTGTATTTAATAACAAAATGGAAAGTAAAATAAAGGAAATGATTCCAATTTTTCATTGCTCATAGATTAAAACAAAGAAAATTGATAGTGTGCTGTAGACATGATCGACAAGGAGATAAAAATACACTCCCAGGTTCAAAATGTCATGCATACACATAGGTATAAGATGTGTGTGTATATGCATCTATGTAAAATAAAAACAGTCTGTAATATAACAGTAACTAGTAACATCCAGCAGCTAACTAATGAGGAATGACTGATTCATAAGTCAAATTACCTAAAGGGAAAATAGAACAGCAGTATAACAGATTTGACAACTGAAATCGCAACCACCTAATAATGAAGCATATACTGAGGAAGAAACAAGGTGCAAAGCAAACAGTGAGAAGGCAGACACTCACCTTCGGTGCCATTGGGAGTCATGGAATTACTATTTATATGAGAGTTATCGAGTTTGGGGCCACTGGGGGATTCACTACTACCACTCAGACGGCTATGCGGGCTGGTTAGATCCTGCATTTCCATAGACCTAAAGACAAGAAGCCTTCCATTTGACAGATGTACCAAATTCATAACACTGCTATTTAATGCGCTAACGACTTGACACCTTCTTTGAAACACACTCACACAAAAGCCCCATTGTATCTCTTTTCTTAGACTCAAAATAGTTCATTCTGCATTTTTACTTCAGTCATTTTCACTACCTGCACTATTAAAGCATGCCACTTACTCTACCTATCCAGCCCAACATTCACAAAGAGTTCTTAAAAATTCCTCTTCGGAACTTTACATAATGTATCAAGTCATAAGGTCTAATGCTACACAGTGACATCTATTTTCATTTTTAAAAAATGTAGTCATGGTTTTCTTTTTATATTTAAAAAAAAATCCCCAAAGGCATTTTTTCCCCTAAAACAGAAAGGAAACTATGTAAACAAGTGTAATAGAAAAAAAATCACTTTTCTATTCAATCTGTTTCATCTAATAAATTAGCACTAGGTACTTCCTTATRATTTACCACCCAATTGTAATTTAATGGGTCTCCAAACCAAATAAAACACTTGAAACCTATAGTCTAGTGACAGGGAATGAGATAGTCCTGATGCATGTGTTTACTCTGGCAAACTACTTAATTGTTCCTCTGTTTCCCTTGAAACAAATGCAGCATTAAAACATTATGATGTCGGCTCACTTGTTTGCTTTGTGGATTACATACAGCGTGCCCAATTGAAAAAGGATAAGGCCAACATACAGTGAGTCCCTATGAGCATTAGCACTCGGAATACCTCAGCTGTCATTGAGGGAAATAAGGACAATTCTACTTCAATGCTACAATTCTGCCTATAATGCTGCACTTTTTACTATATGAAAATAAGCCAGTCCCTTCTGAAAGGTCTCAGATTCAGCATGTACTTATTTTGAAGAGGTCCAAAAGTCAATTTCAGAGCTAGATTTATAATTAATACTTTCATTAATGAAGAGAAGAGAGGACTTACTTACAGTCACTCAAAACACTTTCATATACTGTTTTCTGACAGCTACATTTTAAACGTCTGAGGCTCACATTCCCTTCATTTTAAACTTTATGTGCTTTTCTAAAAAATAAATAAGTAAGGGGGGGGAGGTTTAATGTTCTATATATGAAGCTCTTCATCCCCAACAGATCAATAAAAGGTATAGTCATTTTAATTGAGAGGCTGCACTTAAAGTGACTGTCGATATCAGTTTTTCAAACATCTTTAACTTGAACCATTTTATTTCTGAAATAGATCTTTACTTCCTCAGGTCTTGAAATCAAACTGGAAATAGTTTCAAGTGCAGTTTTTCTCTCCCAATTCCCACTTCACTCACGTTCAGTTTTCCTAACACCAGAAAATATCCCATAATCATTTTTAAACCAAGGCTCCTATTCCTGTCCCACACACTTAGGCATTTTTTTTTTTAACAAGCACACATAAATTGTTAAGTAAATGCCAACTGAGGTTGTTGCTATTAATAGAAATAATTAAGAAATACTAGACAAAAATAGGTCTGGGTCACAGAAAGGTAATCTACAAAAATGTCAAATATCAACAATATCCTTACCTGCAACTTGAGGAAACAGCAACATCTGAACTGGTTTGAGATGTTTGCACCTGTGGTCAGGGGTAAAAAATTAGAAGCTGTTGTTACTGAGCTTCAGTGTCAGCTCTTAATTATACAGAGCACATGGCAGAGACCGACAATGCTCTCTTTTAACCAAAAGAGAAAAAAGAGGATACTGCTGCAGTGAAAGGCATATTGTCTTTAAGTTGAGGTCTCAACTGTTGTTTCCTCCTGCAGGTCTATCCTCCTCCTCCCCTTGTCAGGGGGGGAAGGCAGCCAAATGACGGGATAGTGATTCATCACTGGCCTATGACAGCTGCAAACGGGATTACCCCTCCCCCAATCAACATGCAAAGCAGCCTTGCCCAGGCAGCTTGGAAAAGGTGCTTGGAAAAAAAAATAGCTATTAACAAAATGAGTGCGTTCAGCAGCAGCAGTTCAAGCAATAATCCCCCAGCATCCTCAGAACCTCTTTCAACCTCTGTTATCACCAACTGAAACACAGCTCCCACCCACCCCTTTGACTCCTGACAATATCTTATCCTTATCTCGATGATTTGCTCCCACATTTACTATTTGTTATTTAACGTTTACTAAAACAGCTCCTGGGCACCTTTCAGGCAAAAGGATTAAGGGTAAATGGCAAAAGCAAGTTTTCATACCCAAAGTCACAGCACTGAACAATGTGCTTGTTTACCCATTCCAAATTAAAAGTCAATGAGTGCTTATGCAGCTCTGCCCTACAACATACCAAAGTGGTCAGAATTTTTTTTTTTTTTTTTTTTTTTTTTTGGTAAGGGGTTGGGATGGCTAATTTTCTGTCTTTTAGACTAAAAAAAGACCAGTCGAATAATCAATTTAATGTCCCAGTTAAGCCAGCTCCTTAGTCTCTTTTGTTTCTAGATAAATCTGTATTTGGGGACTTCACTGAACAACTAACTTCACTACTGTGCTGGTTTTAATAGTCACTGCCCTACTGCCAGAGGCAGCTCTAACTGCCAGCAGGTGACAAAGCTCAGGTGAGCTAGGCTGCTGCTGGCTTCCAAGCTCAGCCTTAACAACTAGGCAGGCAGGAAAGAGCATTCTGCATAATGTTTAAATGGCTCAGAATTTCAAATCTTTGATGTGCATTTTCATTCAACCTGAACTGACATCAATTAGGGACACAGAACAAAGATGAGAACTGAAGCATCTCAAATGACATTAAAGTTATCCAACCAAACATCTCCTGTTGAGTCCTGTTATTTTTTTAAATTATGATTTATGAAATTAAGACACTATCTTGCTGGCAAGAATAAAGCATCTTAAGGTCTAAATGTCTTGGTATGGAGTTATGTGAAATTTCTAGGTATGATTTCTAGAATACGTGCAAGACAAAAAAACAATTGTTAAAAGATGCTTGAGTGTTAAGTAGAAATGGCATCTTAGTGCCTGCAGATGTGCCTTTCTATGATGACAGATTTCTGCAATTTTTGTTAAAATTAATGTTCTCACACAAGATTAAATGGTTTCTTTCAGAAACTGGAACAATATACCTCAAGGATAAATTCCCTTTTTCTCTCCCCCCCACTTTAATACACCTGGAATAAATTATAGGTGAGAACTAACTTAGTTTAAGAACTCTCTTGGCTTAATTATGTGAGAGTATGTAAAGCACACTTTCTGTTAAATGTTAAAATCCATTTGCATTTTAACATTAGCTAGAAAGCATAGTCTTGGAAATATAATTTTAGTTTTCACTGTGTACTTTGAAAGTTTGCCTATATTTGAAGTTTAACCTATCATATTTAAATTTAAAAGTCAAAACTGTTGCTAATACAAACAATTTCAAGAATTGTTCTAACACATTTCCTCATTGAAAAAAAAATTGCATTTCACAACACATTTCTTTTATGCTGGTGCAACCCAGTCTCTACTGTACTTTCATACATTACAATTTTTGAAAGTCCACAGCCATGATCTTCATTTCATTAAGTATACTTCAGATATATTCTTTTGTGTCTCAAGGATTATTTAAACCATGTGTTGTGTGTTACTGTATTTAAAAATGACTCTTTAATCAAAATAACTTTAAAACAACTAATCCTCACTTAGGCTGGTCAGCTGAATCCACATCGTGGTCCAGGAAAAATAAATCTACTCTCAAGAATGCGAATGCAGACAACAATTAGACACAGATGTGAGCAAAATTAGTTACAGTTTACAAAATGCTACACTTCACATGCTTTTAGTTTTTTATGTGTAGTACAAGATTACAGTTCAGTAAGGAAACATACTCTTATAATGACTTATCTAAAAAGAACACCTATTTCTGATTGGTGTTGATTTTCTCTCATGTTTAACAATGTCTAAGGAGATTTCTGTATTTTAAAGGTCTCAAACCATAATGTGTTTCAAAAATAATTAACTAGGGATATTTTTGTTCAAAAGAGAAAAAATATTTCCACAGAAGTGCTGGTAAGCATTCAGTAAGCTCACATTTTCTGCTTTACACTCATAAACTTAATATTTCTTGTCATCTCCTAATCTGGTATTTTTAATTCAAATGCTTCTATGAGTGTAGAAATATTTCCCATTCCATTATAAATGGCCATCTTACATTACAATGAAGTCATTTCACTTTAATGCTTTTAAAAACTCTTCRTATAGAATACACATAGTAGCACACTCACAGAGCTGTGAAAATACCAAGAAAAGATAGCAGAACTCCTTAGAATTTAAATTCAAAGATCCTCAACTAGTAACTTTGACTTCTGATTAGTTAATGAGGTCTTTTAAGTTTGCCTTTTTTCTAATTAAATTTATAATTCTTCACAGATGTAACTTTTGTTGATGTTCAATTTGTCTCTCTCATTTTGTTAAACCTCACATAGTACTTCTCCAATCCATTGAAGAGCCACATTAAATCTGTTAATACCATGCTCTTCAGCCCCAGAAATTATTTCCAGAAGGCAAACTTGCTTTGAGAGATCATCAAACAAGACTTAAGGTACACATTTTATCACATTTTCCCTACCACAGAGCTCAGGATGCAGAGCAAAATTCATGACTTTTGCACTGTTTATTATACTTTGCTAAATTACAAATCAAAAGCATCTGACAGAAGATCATGTATGAAGCCAAAAAGTTAATAATGTTCTGTGAAAAGTAAACTGTAAATGGAAAGGGATTCTAAATCTCAGCATCACACAGCAAATAAAATGTAGGTACTTGTCCAAATTATGGGTTTTCCATAGGTTTTTTTTTTTTTTGCTTGCTAGAAGCAATTTTTATAAAATGACTATAAAACTTTTTTTTTTCAAACTGAAAAGAAATTTTCAAAGTGAAAGTACTGAACTTATCTAAATAAATAGAATTGGCAGGCGAGCTAGTTTTGTCCAACCACAGATCAACCTGAGTACTCCCAAATTTGAAAGACAATGGCAATTTTCTAATCAGAATGTATGCTATAGAGATATTTTTAAAAGTACGTTAGCCATAAATCTGATTTTTAAACAGAATATATTCCTGCTAAAATTTCTCCTCAATCAATATCTCCAACTGTGGTGTTAGTGTTGTAATAAAAACCTCAATATTTTAAAGAAAAATCTAACCCTAAAACTGAAATGAAGCTGTAAGGAGAGACATAAAATATAATGTTAAAATGTCAACATTATATTTTCTTCTTTATCGAAAACTCCATAAAGTTAATGCCTTAATGCTTTACTGATTACTGATTACTCTATTTAAATATCCTATATTACTTTTTGCAAAATCTTGTTTAAAGAAAATTAGAGTCCTTATGAAACTAAAACCAAATAAGTATTCAAATCATAGTATTCTACCTATAGCTTTAGATTATTATTTAAAAAATAGCAATTATGTAAAATATTGAGCAAAATACTTTTGATAACTGATTAAATAAAAGTGACTTTATTCTCACTGCATGTTTTTCTTTCCAGTGTATTCTTTTAAAAAAAAAAATTTCCCAATTCGAATGGAAAGTTTCTTTTGAGAAAATCATTTATCATGTCTGTGAAACTCACATAGCAGTTGACTTCCATTTGGCACTCTAAAAGTGGCCAGTGGCTCAATTAGGTTTCTATGTCTGTCACCGGGAAGAATTTTCAAAGATTGAAAATCTATGGTTGCCTGCTCACTTAGTGAACAATTTGGGCCTTAGGCGAATTCAAGTATCAAGAAAATCAAATATCAAATGTTTGATCATACAAAAGCATGACTATTCATGGATGCATGTCCTCAAATCCCAAGCAGGAGGGTAAAGACTCAAACAAGCATAAAATAAAACCCACCCTGAAAGACAACCCCAAACCTATAAAACTACGCTATATACTTAAGTATCAACTTTTTGTACCCTTTACTATTTTAAGAAATGAATCAAAAATGCTTGTCTAAATTCAATGACAGCTCTGAATTTACTGAATTCTTGCGAATGCTGTACTTAAATGTGTTCAAAAAACTCCCCCAAAGAAATATAAGCCCATGAGTCATTAGCAATTCATATACTGATTTTGACTGGCAAACATTTTAAATGATAAGTAAAAAGTCTTAAGAATCTGAATTTTCAACTCCAAGGTCCATTCAAGTCATATAAAGTGCCCTTCTATGAGAAATACATTAATTGGGCAAATGTTTATTGTARTCACCTTTTGAAGATGAGCCTGTTTAATGTAAGGTTTGGGAAATTTGTTTATTGAAGCAAAAAGGATTATTTAAACAGCAAATATCAATTGTTATCTGTTGTCCATTCAAATGTTAAACCTCTCATTTTTTCATATCAACTTAAACTGCACAGGGAAAGTCATCTATGTGTTGTGGTGGATGGATGTGTAACTCAACATCGCGCAATATTTGAGGTTTGTGCAGCAATTCAGAAAAGAGATTCCAAGTAATCTGCTTAGGAGACTGTGGCCTTGCCTACTGATTTCCAGAGATAGCACAAATCATTGTTAGCAATTAATTTGTAATTACCTCTTAATGATCCTAACCGCTCAGATAATTTGGGGGTTTAAGAATTCTACTTTTACGATGGAACCCTGTGGCTCATAAAGTATTAGGTACAAAAAGTGTCATCATTTTCTACATGCCATTTTTTTTTCTTTTAAAACAAAATCCAAACAATCAAAGCGCTCCTGTTATCTCGGACTTTGCCCACAGGACAGCTGTTGTCAGTCACTAACAATTTTTCAAACGGTCAGCTTGTACTTACAGCGCTCACATCTGCCGCATCCACCCGTTTAATGTACTCCTCCGCGTTTTCTGGTTTAGCAAGCCTCCATTCCTGACATAGTTGGGCTCCGRGGAGGGACGCGCGAGGGCTCCGCGGCGCTCTCAGCGGAGCCGCGGCGCTCGTGGAAGCGGAGCGCGGGTGCCGGGGAGAGCCCGGCTGCGGGGGAAGGCGCCCGGGCGCTGCTGCAGGCTCGGGCTGCCGAGCGACTGAGCGAAATCGCTGGCCCCAGGAAGAACCCCGCCACAGTGGACGGCAACAGGAAGGCTTACAGTCGGAAGTGGCACTGGAGAGTTTCTACCTCGCCCCAAACTCGGAGCCATCAGCTCCCACCGTTCGGTTGGGTAACAGCTTTGCGCCCTGCGCTCTTTCCCCACCGAATTGCAGCCGCAGATAGCATCTGAGAACTCTAGACAAAGAAACAGCAGAATCTCATCCTTCGATTTGTTTGCGCAGCCTTGTAGGTCTGCCCATGAAGCCTCGGGGCTCTCTCTCTCTCTCTCT